ACATGTTGTAGGAGGAAGTAGTCCTTGAAGAAGGATATGATGCTTGATAAGGTGGAGGGTCAGTGAAAAAGAGAAAGATCCCCCAAAAGATGAGTTGACACAGTGGCAGCAACAATGGGATGGCACAACAATGAGGAAGGCACAAGACTTGTACACAGGGTCACATGAGTCAGAGGTGACTTGATTGCACATAACAACACCTGCAACAACAACCCACAGAGCCTGGCCTAGCTGTCCTAATCAGGAACACCTGCCAAGCCCTGTGCCACCATATCATCTAAGCCAGGGCGGAGGATAAGCTGGGAGTGTCTGTGTGGCAGGGGCAGAGGGCTCAACTCAGCTGCTGCATGACTGTACACAGTGATTTCATTTTCATTTATTGAGCACCCACTGCATGCCAGCCAGTCAGCCAGCCAGAGTCCACCATGTGGCCCTCTAGGGAAGAATCTCATTTCTACCTATAATTCTCCCTCCTTGGACGAGGCTTTCTGCTCCTGGTGTTGCACTGTGAATTAATGTGCTGGACTGCAAGTCAGTGTGAACCACGATCGGCAGTTCAAACTCCCTCGCTGCACCTTGGAAGCCCTATACAGGGTGGCTATGAGTCAGAACAGACTTGACGGCACTTAACAACAATAAAGGTGTACAGCCTTGGAAACCCTATGCAGAGTCGCTATGAGTTGGAACCAACTCCACGGCTTAGCACCACCACCATCATCTCCTGATAGCATCTGCCTCCAGAATAGCCAGAGCTTGGGGACCATGGCAAGGAGGCAACAGAAACATTAAGAACCAAGGAGTCCATCCCAGTGGGGAGGCCCTGAAGGAACCTCTCAGTCGTATGCCAGCTTGAGTCAGCAAAGAGGAACGGGTGGGGGCGCAGGGGCGGGCTATGGAGCTGCTGGAAGTGAGCGCTACTGCGCTGATAGACATCTGATGTTTGCTTTTCTCCGATGCGTGCAACAGAAGAAAACACTCCCTGGTCCTTCCTTCACCATCTTCACAGTTGTTGGTATTTTGTTTTTGTCCATTGTTGCCGCCACTGTGCCAGTCCATTTTGTTAAAAATCTTTCTCTTTTTCACTGACCTTCTACTTTACCAAGCCTGGTGTTCTTCCTCCTGCTAATGACATGTCCTAAGTACACGGGATAAAGTCTCGCCATTCTTGCTTCTAAGGAACATTCTTGATTGTTCTTATTCCAAGATAGATTTGTTCCTTCTTTGGTAGTCCAGTCAATATTCTTCATCAATACCGTAATTCAAAGACACCAATTCTTCTTTGATCTTCGGTATTTATTGTCCGTATTTATTTATTAATTGTCCGTGTTTATTTATTTCACATGCATATAAGTGATTGAAAATGCTGGAGCTTTGAGTCAGGCACACCTTAGTTCTCAAAGTGACATCTTTGCTTTTTAACATTTCAGAGAGACCTTTTGCAAGATTTACCCATCTACACTGATAGGAAACTGATGTTTCCTTGAGTGTTGGTCATGAATCCAAGTAAAATGAAATCCTTGAGCGCGTCAATCTTATCTCTGTTTATCACGATGCCATTTAGTGGTACGATGTGAGCGTTCTTGTTTTATGTTGAGGTGTAATCCACACTGAAGGCTGTAGTTAGTCTGTGATCTTAAACAGTCATAAATATAGTTGGTAGTGCCACAGAGAGCTGGGACAACTTTACCGAGAGCCTGGGGTGGTGCGGCTAGAAAAAGGTACAAGGGTACATGTCTCTTGTACCTAGAGCTCCCCACACCTCCTTTCATTGCCACCTCCCTTGCCCCCCCCCCACCCCCATTTCACAGATGAGGTGCTTGAGGCCACTGTCCAATGGTGTCTGAGTCTAAAGCTGAAGCTCTGCTTTACCGTTCTCTGGGCTAAGACAGAGATGAGATTCTGGTGGTGACCAGGTAGACATGGAGTTTGGCCAACTCTCTGCTGCCCAGATACCCTTCTGATCCCACCCTGTGCTACCGAGAGCAGGGGAGCCCTGGCCTGGCTTTAACTGCTTACCTAGTGGCCATAGACAAATCACTTATCCTGTCTGGATGGTCTTCAGCTTTGAAACAAGAAGCTTGGTCCTGCTTGGCTTTCCGCTTACCTAGTGGCCATAGACAAATCACTTATCTTGTCTGGATGGTCTTCAGCTTTGAAACAAGAAGGTTGGTCCTAGCCCAGCTGGAGAAAGCCCCTATAAACTAGAAGCACAGTCAGTGCCACGTACTATTAGGATTCGAGAGCTTGGGGACATCCGAGTATCGCGGAGCTACGTACGCCAGGCAGTACAGATTCCAGGGCAACATCCCAAACTCTGAAGTCTGTTTCTTGGCTTCAAATCTTTGCTCTGCCTCTTGTTAACTGTGTGACCTTGGGTAAGTTGCTTAACCTCTCTGAACCTTAAAATGGGGCAGTAATACAGCAGACCTTAAAAGATTGTTGCAAGAATCAAGATTTCTTCACTAAGTGAAGTACTGAAATCTGTACCTTCTAGGTAATTCTAGGTAAAGCTCTAGTTCTTATTTTCATATAGCAAAATGGGCCTACGATTTGCTTGTCCCCATGCTAGAGACCCTGTGGGATTATTGTATACAGTCCTCAAGACGGCTCGTGAAAGGAAGGTAGCCTCTCCTGCCCTTTTGTGAGATGAAGCCTCAAGGCTCAAAGTGAAGGGCTCTCGGAGTTGAGGGTCCCACAGCCATGTAGGTGGATCCACACCCCATCTGGCTAGCTTTCCTTTGGCTTCCCCAGGTGCGTCACAATGCCCAGAGCCCAGGGCTGATGAGGAACAAGCCTGCTCTCTCTCTGTGCTCCCAGACACCCCAGTCTCGGCAGGGGCGCCTCCTGTCAGCCATGTTAAGCATCTTGGTTCATTCTGCTCTTGGAAAACTGGGGTTTCTTGGATCTTCTGCCCATAGGGACACACCCAGGGCTACATGTGCCCCACCATGACTCCTGACCTGGAGAACCAGTGCAAGATCCCAACTGCCATGTAGGACTTCTAGGACCTCAGCCTTGCTGAGGCTCGGGGTGGGAGGGGCGGGGGTGGGGGGACAGCATCCTCACCTCCTGCAGTTTAATTCCCTATTTCCTCTGGAACAGTTAGCAGAGGAGGATGCCCCCCCCCCCATTGTCTGTCCCCATCTGCCCCATAGCTTGGCAATGGAAAGTCAATTTTCCTAAGTGGACTCTGTGAGGCCTGGCCAACCTGGCCCTCCCTTTGGTACTAATTAGCCCCTACCCCACCCCCACTTCCTGTTTGTCTCACCTCTGAGAGACCTTTCCAGGGGGCACACAGACCCTGGTTTCCATTTGACCCCTTTGTTGTTGTCAATTGCTGTCCAGTCTCTGTTCCAACTCATAGTGACCCTGTATAGGGTTTCCAAGGAGTTTGAATCATCAACCTTGCAGCTCAAGCTGACCTTGTGGCCTAGGGTACTATCCTAGGGCACCACACCAGGACTCCGTTACAGACAGGGCATCAAAAAAAGATTCTTTTTGAAACAGACATCTTACTTTGATTTCAAGGACCTTCTCTCTTTTCCAGTAAAAGCCTGAGCCAAACTGTGGACTTGTGCTTTTACCAGGAAAGGCAAACTACTCCACAACATTGTCACTCTGCCCTTTCCAGCTCATTACCTCACAATCCAAGGAAGACTGTGTGCTTTCTTTAATTTTTATTTCTAGAGGTCTCACAGGTACAACCATGCAAAAGGCCACATTTTCTGAAGGCCACTTTTATAGTGCTAACTTGATAACCTTTGCATGCTTTGTCACCGTGGGAAATGTGAGTGCCGTATTTGTTGTTGTTGTTGGGGACTATCTAGTAGACTGAGACCCCCCCCCAACTGTGCAGAGTAGAACTGCTTCAGAGGGGTTTCAGTTGTGACCTTTTAGAAACAGATCACCCAGGAAACTCTGGGTGGGTTGGAACAACCAACCCATCAGCTAGTATTTGAATACTTAACTGTTGCCACCCAGGGACCCCACCGTTAACTTTAGGTTTCTCTAAAATCTCCAGTGCTCCGAACTTTTCTGTTTGTTTGTTTCTGTTGCAAGGAATTGCTTACTCCCCCAATAAGCAAATTGTTTGTTAATTTCCAGAGCTGTCAAATATTGTGTTATTGTTTTGAGCTAATCCACAGGGGTTTATTTCTTAACAATTTTAACTAGCCTACTTGGAGCCGCTTGTTTTTAAAAATAAAATAATGCAAATAAATAAATAAATAAATAAAAATAAAAATAATGCTTCTGCACGCTTACAGATTAACTGCTCAAAATAAACCCTATGTATTAATTTCTTTGGATTTTGATGTGGGGTGTTTGGGGGGGTGGGTTCCTCGAGACAGAGCCTCTCTGTGTTCCCATCCCATAAAGTTTCCTTGTGTGGATTTACCTAAGACTGGAAGAGTCAAGAGATAGATCAGCCTCCAACTGGGCTGGGCGGCTCAGGGGGAGTAGCTGGGAAGGTGGTCCCCATGTCTTAGCTGTTTCCTTCACCATTCCTTGAGGCTCTCAGGAGGAAGGAGCCTGTAAAGGGTAGGGGTGGAGTGAGGCAAGTGGTTGGTTCCACTGCCCCTTCACCCCTACCCTTATCCCATGCCCCTGCAAGTGGGCTGGTCTGTCTCTCTGTCTGCCCGCCTGGCTGGCTGAGTCTGCAAAGGGCAGCTGTGGCTTCGGGGCAGAGCTGGCCTGGTTTCCAGCCCAACGTGCACCATGGTTTCATGGTGGGAAACCAGAGCAAGGCTGGGCAGGGCCACGGCAGGGACTTTGGGGGGAGAACCAGAGAGGCGTCCTTGCTCTGCCAGATATTCTCATCTCTAGAGACCGTACTCATGTCTCATGTGTAAAGAAGTAAAAATCCTGGCACCACAGAGGACGGCTGAGGCCAGGCGTGGCGGGTCCCAGGGAGCAGCTCTGCTGGCCTGGCCCGCACCCTGTGCCTACTTGCTCTACATTGGGCCCCCCACCAAGTCTCACGGAACCCCTGTTTCCCACAGGCACTGATTCTGGCAGCGAGGTGCTCCCTGACTCCTTCCCGTCAGCACCGGCCGAGCCCCTGCCCCACTTCCTCCTGGAGCCTCAGGACGCCTACATCGTGAAGAACAAGCCTGTGGAACTGCGCTGCAGGGCCTTCCCGGCCACACAGATCTACTTCAAGTGCAACGGCGAATGGGTTAGCCAGAATGACCACATCACACAGGAGGGGCTGGACGAGGCCACAGGTGAGCCCACCTGCTCAACTGGGCACTCAGGCCCAGCCGGGACTTACAGCTCCCCAGCCATGTTTTCTCCTCTAGGGTTCACAGTGTCTTCTGCCTTGGTGGCCCATGTGTGACTCTAGTAAAGCACATGGAATCCCTTGCTGAGTGCTCGTCCCCTTTTCCATTTTCTTTTCATCCTTCTGCTCACCTTGAGGAACAAGTTCTTTCCAGGCTCTGGGAGTCTCTAACCTTCTCACAAAACCTCAGCAAAGAAGACAGCAGACCTCTCTTCACAGCCCACACCTAGTTAGTAGCCCCTAACCAGGATCCAACACTATTGTTATTTTTATAATTCCCTTCTATTTGTGGAAATGAAACTGTTTTCCGTTCACAATAATAATGAGACATTTCCTATATAAAAATAAATTGTTTTAAGTTTTATAAAAGTTAAATACTATTGAGCGCTAGAGAGGATGTTACTAGACTGTGGAAATGGGAAGGAGGGGTAGGTCTCAGTTCTTCTTTGTGTGTGACAATGGGAACAAACAAATTTCCAGATTCTGGGCACCAGCTTTAGAAGAAGGCTTTCGCTCTCTGTCGGCTGTGGAGAAAGGTCTTTGACTCTTTTGTATTACTTCTCCTTCCTGTGACTTGTCACCTCTTTCATCTTTGCTCAGCTCACTTGTTTAATCTCTTTTATAACTGGTGTGGTGCTGTAGGATAAGCACTGGTCTGCTAACCACAAGGTTGGTGGCTCAAACCCACCAGTCACTCTCTGGAAACACTACACATGGTCGCTATGAGTCAGAACCAATTCAGTAGCACTTAACAACAATGTATCTCAAAAGAGATTGACTCAAGAAACACCCCCAACACTAATCCTGCCTCATTCACAGAAAAACGCAGCCCACTCCCATATGGGGTTTTAACCACGACATGGTGGTGGTACCTCCCAGGAGTTCTGACTCATAGCAACCCTGTATAGGGTTTCTGAGGTGGGTCTGAACTGCCGGCCTTATAGTTAACAGCCCAGTACTTACCCTACTATGCCACACCAGGACTTCAGCCACAGGCATAGAGGTTAGGATTTACAACACGTAAAGTCAGATCTGACTCATGGCAACCCTGTATGGGGTTTCCAAGGAGTGGCTGGTGGGTTTGAACTGCTTTGTGGTTACCAGTCCGGTAGTCATCGTACAGGACCCCACACATATTATGTTGTTGTGAGTGCTGTTAAGTTGGTTCCAACTTATAGTGACCCTGTAAAGGGTTTCTGAGGAGTGACTGGTAGGTTTGAACCACCAACTTTGTGATTCAAATCGACCTTGTGGTCCAGTGCATTGTCCTGAAGCACCACACCAGGACATATTTTAGGGGAACACAATTCAACCCATAACAAGGTATAAGGACCCTTCCTTTTGTGAGGTGAGGGGGTAGCACCTGCCCATGGTGACTTGAGTATGCAGGAGAGGCTTGTGTGCCACCAGGTCTTTTGTACTGGGCAGGAAGCCCCAGGTGCAGAAAGCCTTTCCCAGGGCTTAGGACAGTAGGTGGGCCACCTGTTACTTGTCCCTTGACAGGGCCAGCAGATGAGATGCTCCAGTTGATCTTCAGATTTAGGGTGGACCCGCACACCCCAGTGGTCTTCCTTCTTCTTTGTGGCACTTAGTTTTTACTGTCTCTTCACTTGTTCCTTATCCTGATCCATTTTTTCATCCTTCCTTCTGCCTTGGCCCGCCTCGTCCTTCTAATCCCTCTGTGTGTGTGTCTGTCTGTCTGTCTTCCCCCAGGCATTTTTCTTCCTGCCTTTCCCACTCTCATTTTCTCCTTTCTCACTCTCTTTTTCCCTCCTTCATTTATTCTTCCTTTCTGCATTTTCACCCTTTGTCACCCTTCCGGCTTGGAACTGAACTCAGGAGAGAAAAAGAGTCATAGATGTCAGACTAGCCACGCTTGAAATCAAACTACAGTTGCCCCCTCTCTCTGGCTGTGTTGCCTTGGGGGAGTTACTTGACCTCTCTGAACTCAAGTCCTCTATTTGTAGACTAGGCAGGCTGGAGCCAGGGGGTGCACTACAGGCCTGAGCACTGTTCAGTAAACGCTTACCTTCTCCATCCTCTTTCTGGATTTTTCTGAGTCTCCACCAGCTTTAAAGGCAGAGTGAGGGGACAGTATGCCCTGCTGGGGCCCATCCCCGCCCTGCGATTATTGTTAATGGTTACTTCTCTGTCACCAGCACACAGGCCTTGCCAGCCTGAGAAATTGGGGCACTGTTGTCCCCATTTGCTGCCAACCATGGACAATTGCTCTGCGGGCTACTCGCTTGGCAGCAGTGGGGCAGACTGGGCTCTGACTTCAGGAGACTCAGGATGGGCCCCACAGACCAGCTCCTGCCAGGTCTGAGACAGATGGCCCCACCTCCCTGCTACTCAGCTGCCAGGCTAGCTAGGTTTGGGAGACCAAAGTCTTCTAGTTTCATCCTCTCTGCATCTCCTGGCTGTTGGTGTCCAGTGACAAGATTTTTCTGGGTGATGGTCTCCCCTTGCCCAGCTGGTTGGCTGCATGGATGAACAACTTTAAAAGGACCACTTTTCCAGGCCCACAGCCTAGAAGTAAGGCAGGGAACCCTGCTGCCGTGTCCCAGCTGAGGTTGCATCAACAGTGTGAGTGGGTGGAGTTGCCACCCCGGAAGCAGTGTTCTGGGGTGCTCCTCTGAGCTTTCCTAATAGACTCTGACCACCAGAATCGGGTTCTCCTCATGGTCTGGGTGTGCAGGAGAATTGAAGCAGTGGTTTCACTGGGCCTCATGGCTGAGGGGACAGCGCTCAACCAGGAAGATACCAGAGAGCTGATCTCAGCTTTGTTGGGAACTTGCTGTGGGAACAGTAGGCCCATCACCTGCCCTCTCATGGCCTCTGGTTCTCCAGATGTAAAAGGAAGAGGATGGATAAGTCCAGATGACCTGTCCAGGTAGTTTTGTGTCTGGCCCAAGTTGGGTGAAGTGACAGACAGAGTAATTACCATGACTTCGAGGTCACCCTGAGTGTTTTGTTATGATGATGGAACTAAGGCTCAGAGAGGCTAAGTCACTTAGCAAAGGTCACACAGCTGGGGAGTAGGGTGGTGGCAAGATTCAAACTTGTCTATAGCCATTCAGCCCTATGCTTAACCACCACACCACGGTACTGCATCTTGTGCAATCCACAGTTCTCCCCTCAAGGGACTTATTGGGATGAGATGGGACAATTCATAGCAAGGAGAAGCAGATTTGGGAACCCTGAGGCAGGTGAGGCCAGCAGTAAGGGGGGACTTCCTGGAGGAGGAGGCCTCAAGCCCCCCCCCCAAACTTCAATGAGGAGCTTTTGATAGCTGCTCTAATCTAGGAGAGCTGACTCCTTTTCTGAGCAGAGAGGACTTAGTGGAAGCAGAGGGTTAGGAGAGGGGAGTGAAGGATCCGATGGCTCAGGGAGACTGCATAGGCTGGAGCCACTGGTCTCACGCCTCTAATGTACTTTCTGTTACTGAGCCCCTTTTCTGGGCCAGGCCCTGGGCCCCGACAATGAATTGGGGCCCTATCTTATTCCCCTGCAGGAGCTAAGCAGTAAACACATTAACCCGTAAATAAGCATGATGGTCCCCTAGTGGTCAGTGCTGTGAGGAAATCCAGTTGAGTGGCTGAAGGACAGTTGTCGTGCTCAAGTGTAAACTCAGGAGTACAGTTGTTAAGTAGTGAGTAAGATCAGAGCAGACCTCCCACTAGAAGAGGGGCCCAGCTGAGAGCTGAGGGGTGACCCCCGGAGCTCACTGGTCATAGAGGGGCCTGCCAGGGTGAGGGACTGGGAGCTGGCCACTGAGGTCACATAGGGTCAGGTAGCGGTGCAGGATGTCTGCACTCGGAACTTGCACCCAGGATGGAGGCTGTGCAGGGTCTGGGCTCTGCTGAGAGCACAGCAGACTGAATGCCCCTGTGTGGTTGCAGGGTGGATAAAGGTCAGTGCTTGCATTTGCAAGCCATTGTGATGCCCAGAGCTATCAGAGGTGAGAGAAATGATGGTCATTCAGGAGAGAGACTTTGGCAACAGGGCCAAGAGGTCTTGGGGTGGAGGGAGAGTCATGGTCTCTGGCCTGCCCCTGATAGTTTCTCTGCCCCCCTTCAGGTCTGAGGCTGCGAGAGGTGCAGATCGAAGTGTCTCGGCAGCAGGTGGAGGAGCTGTTTGGGCTGGAGGATTACTGGTGCCAGTGTGTGGCCTGGAGCTCTGCAGGCACCACCAAGAGTCACAGAGCCTACGTCCGCATCGCCTGTATGACCCACACTCCCTTCCCCCAGCCAGCCCCCCATTTCCTTAGGAACCTGGAGAAGGGATTCCACAACAATGGGAGCCTCCTCGGCCTCCCTAGCTTAGGTGACCCCACAGATAACTCAGACACCTGTTGCTAGGCCAGAAGGCACCTCAAGCCCCAGGCCACCTCTGGCCTCAGGATTTCTAAGCACCCCTCATTCACCCACTTCTGTTTATCTTTATCCGTAGTACTAGGACTCTGTGTTAGGGAGGGAACTCTGTTCCCCCAACTCCTCTGGAGGAGAGGAAAGGTCCCAGATACAGACCAGGCGTTCCCTGGTGCACACTGCCATCTAGTGGTTAGAGGGGTACTGCAGTCTCCACTGCCTGGCTGACTGCCCGGGACATTGTCCCTTCTTCCAGACCTGCGCAAGAACTTTGACCAGGAGCCTCTGGGGAAGGAGGTACCCCTGGACCATGAGCTTCTCCTGCAGTGCCGCCCTCCAGAGGGGGTGCCGGTGGCTGAGGTGAGGGGGATGTGGGGGCTGTTGGGCATGGAGTTAGCCCTGGTACTGGGAATCAAGGTTAGGACCTTTGCAGAGCATACATGTCAGGTCCCGGCAGAAACAGGACAGAGCTGGGCAGGAAGCCCTGGGACTCCTCAGTCAGCCCATGCTCAGTGTTCTGCAAAGGAAATGCCCGTGGACTGCCTGCCCACCCACAACCCCAGGCCTCAGCTTTATAGATGCCAAAAACCAAACCCACTGCCCTTGAGTTGATTATGACTCATAGTTGACCCTGCACAGGGTTTCCAGGGTTGTAAAGATTTATAGGAGTAGCCTGCCTCTTCTCTCTTCAGAGGAGCAGCTGGTGGGTGTGACCTGCCAACCTTCAGGTAAGCAATGCCTAACCCACAGTGCCACCAGGACTCCCTTTATGGAAGCCAGAGGAGTTCATAATGTGTGTGGCCTCATCCATGAGCTAACCATGCCCCTTCCCCATGGGTACTTGCCCCTCCCTCCCGTCCCTCACCCCTACTCACATTCCGGACATACGCCCTCTCTCCACTTATGGCCCTGCACTGTGAACCCAGGGACTCAAAACCCTCTGGAATGGGGCCTTGGGCTTCAGCATGGGAGCCTTCTTCGTCTGGAAACTGGGCTCAGGCAGGCGCTTTATAATCTCTGCCTCTCTGGCCAGGATTTGTTCCACAGCAGTCCTGTAGGGTGGTTGGGAAAAGAAACAGGGCGAGGTGGCCACTTGGGGCAGCCCATCTAGAAGGTGGCAGAGGTGGGGCTTGAACCCATACTGAGCTAGTACTGACCATGAGCCAGGCACTTCCTGTTGTCCGCATTTTCCATATCCTGCCTCCTCCCATCTTCCTGACCTCAGGGTCTGCTGGTGTTAAATGCTTTGGCGGCAGTTCCAACTCATAGAGACCCTGTATATTATTTCTGAGGCTGTAAATCTTTGCAGGAGTAAAAAGGCTCATCTTTCTCCCATGAAGCAGCTGGTGGACTTGAACCGCCAACCTTGTGGTTCAAAGCCCAGTGCTGTTCCTCTAGAGCCACCATGTTTTCACCCTTAAAAGTTGTTGTGATGTGCCGTAGAGTCAGTTCTAATTCATAATGACCCTGTATAGGGTTTCCAAGGATTGACTGGTGGGCTTGAACTGCCAACCTTGTGGTACAAAACCCAGTGCTGTTCCTCTAGAGCCACCATGTTTTCACCCTTAGAAGTTGTTGTGATGTGCCGTAGAGTCAGTTCTGATTCATAATGACCCCGTATAGGGTTTCCAAGGATTGACTGGTGGGCTTGAACTGCCAACCTTGTGGTACAAAACCCAGTGCTTATCCTACAAGGCCACACCAGGACGCTGCCCTCTGGGGTTGTTGTTGTTGTTAAGTTCTGTCGAGTCGATTCCAACCGTTAGCGACCCTGTATAGGGTTTCCAAGGAGGAGCTGGTGAACTTGTTGCAGTTCAGATGGCTTTGCAGTCTGGTGCATTAACACACAGCGCCACTCTGGGGTAGATGTCCTTAAATTCCCATTTTACAGTGGGTAAAATTGAGGCTCTTTGCAGTTAAGTCACTTCTCCAGTGGTACAGCTGGCCAACAGATGGGGTCAGGTCAGCACAGTGTCCTGCTCAGCGCAGCATCTACCTCACTGCATCAATATGGGTAGATGAGGACAGAAATGCTGCCCGCCCCTCCCCAGGGTAAGCAGGCACGGGGCCTTTACCATGTTCCTCCCAACCCCACTCCTGCAGGTGGAATGGCTGAAGAATGAGGATGTCATCGATCCCACTCAGGACACCAACTTCCTGCTCACCATCGACCACAACCTCATCATCCGCCAGGCCCGCCTCTCAGATACAGCCAACTACACCTGTGTGGCCAAGAACATCGTGGCCAAGCGCCGGAGCACCACCGCCACTGTCATCGTCTATGGTGAGGGAGGCTTGGGGTGGGTGTGCAGGCCCTGCCCTGGGAGAGGAAGGAGTCCTGACCACCTGGTGAACAGGTGGGAAATTGAGGCCCATAGAGGAGAGGTGACTTAACCAAGAACACTCCCGTCTCCTCTGGGCTCCCCTTGCCTACTTCTGAAGGAGAAACCTCATTCACCTGGAGGAGGGGACTGGACTGGGACAGGGCCCGCCTATTCTAGCAGAGTTGGGGGCAGCTGCCTGGCCTGTTAAGCTGTTCCCTCCTATCCCCTTGGGCCCCTTGGGCAGAGGGGTACAGCCAAACCTGAGATGACTTTAGACAATGATCACCCCAGTCACTGACCCCTCATAATTCATAGGGTGACCTTAGGTGAGTGTCAGACCCTCCCTGTGCCTCAATTTGCCATTTTGCAGTGGGGACGGGATAGTCAGTACCTTCGGAGTTCCGATCTCTGGGTGTGAGTCCCCAGCCCTGCAGGCAGGAGGGTTCTCACCCAGCAGTGTCAGGCCTGAGGGGACAGGGAGGCTCATCAGGGCACCTGGGGACAGGCGTTGAGGGTACCAGGCTAGGCCAGCAGGTAACAGCTGCTTGCTACCCCTGCAGTGGATGGTGGCTGGTCCAGCTGGGCGGAGTGGTCACCCTGCTCCAACCGCTGTGGTCGAGGTTGGCAGAAGCGCACACGGACCTGCACCAACCCCGCCCCACTCAATGGAGGAGCCTTCTGTGAGGGTCAGGCCTTCCAGAAGACCGCCTGCACCACAGTGTGCCCAGGTCAGCGTGAATGACCAGGTGGCACCTGCCTACACCCAGCCCCACTCCAACCCCATGCCTGCCTTCCCTTTTGTTGGTCAGTCAGGATGTCAGTCCCTCCCTATCATCCAGGGCTCCTAAGCTGGCTGACTGGTTGTCACGGTATCTGACTTCTTGTTCAGCCCTGACCCCAACTCAGGCCCTGCCCACCAGGCCCAGGATTCTCAGTGGCAGGGCCAAGACCAGGATCCCACAATTGCCCAGGGCCAAGGGGGAGCCTGTCCTCTTACATAGAGCTATTAAGACACCATGGCCAGTGGGCCCCAGCCCTGAAATCCTCTCCTCTCTTTTTGTCTTCATCTCACTCTGTGTCTTCCGCTTGTCTGTCCTTGGCCATCTGACTGTGTTTGTATGAATGATTTGGCGTTTTCCCACCCTGGGTGTGCACTCGTGCACCGGCCTGTCTGGATGTGCGTCTGTCTGTACTGTGTCCCCAATGTGGGTGTGTGTTGGTGTGGGATTGTGTTGCTGCGCTGTGGATTTCTCTGGATGGTGTCCGTGTGTCTGTGGTTTGTTTGTATATGTGTTGATGCACCACTGCCTTCTGCCTGCATGGCTCACCGTGTACACGCCTCTGTGTGCTACGTATGTCCCTGCGTGTGGTGCCGTGGCTCCTACAGTGGACGGGGCGTGGACCGAGTGGAGCAAGTGGTCAGCCTGCAGCACTGAGTGTGCCCACTGGCGCAGCCGGGAGTGCATGGCACCCCCACCCCAGAACGGAGGACGCGACTGCAGCGGGACGCTGCTCGACTCCAAGAACTGTACTGACGGGCTCTGCGTGCAGAGTGAGTTCCCGGGAGGGGGCCTTGGGAGGTCTAGAGCCCACCTAGGGGCCTCTGCCTGCCCACCACAGTGGCCATCACACCCGCATCATTTCACCATCATCTGCTCTGCCACCTGTCACCTGTGTCATTGTCTTTCCCTTTATTTCCCCCGACAGACAAGAAAACTCTAAGCGACCCCAAAAGCCACCGTAAGTTCCATTTCATCGTTGTTGTCTTTCCTCCGTGGGACCCCGGGTTTTACATGGTGTGAGGCATAGGCAGGCAGAGCCATGGGCACCCCCATACTACCCACCACATTTGGGGTTTTCAGCACCCAATGCTGCTTGTGCCCAGACTCTCTACCACCAGCAGATAGACAGACTCCCAGCTGGTGGACCCCTGGGCATCATCGTGACCCTGCCCTTACAGTCTCAGAGAGGCCAAGGGACAGATCTGGGGATTGACCTAGGAATTAGCAAAACTAGGATTTGAACCCAAATATTTTTATGATCAATCTGCTGCTATTAACCTTGTCCCCTTGGCTTTGCTGTGTGGGACAGTTCCGGGATCCAGTCCACTTCTGTTCACCCCCAGCACCCCTCCCTAGACCTCAGCAGCTGAGAGAAAACACTCCCCACCCCCCGCCACACTCTCTGTGCCTTCCATCCTCTAAGGGGCTCGTCCTCCAAGCCCTACAGTAATACCAGCTCAGTAAAGTGCCATCAGCAGGTTGGCCTGGGGTAATTAAACTACAATTTCCAAATAATTCTGGACTCATAAAACCAACACTGAGGGGCCAGGCTGGTAACTAATGAGATTGTGAATCACTAGGCAAGTGGCCCCGGTGGTAGAGAGGAAATCACCCAGAGAGGTGGGCGCCTGGCCCTGAGTGGACTTCTCTGGACTCCCCTGGGCATCAGGGTCCTCTGGTAGAAGCCATGCCCAGGCCTTGCTGGGTGGCTCCCACTAACCCCAAGACAGGGGAGCTGGGAAGGGAGTCCATGGCAGTCTGTCCTTCAGGACTTCCAGGGAAGGGAGAGGGTGGACAGATGCTCCCTGGAGCTCCCAGAAGAAATAGAAGGCAGAGCAGCCTGCTGTTTCCTCCCAGAGGTCATACTGGCAGTTACCTTGGCTCTGCCAGAGCCTTTCAGCATAGTAGCTGCTCATCCTATGGGACTATTTCAGTGATTTTAAATGAAATCAATAAACCTAAAACTTCAGCTCTTCTGCCGTACCAGCCACATTCTGGTGGCTCAACAGCCACATGTGGACAGACACGGAGACCCTACCTTGCTGACCCCGGGACCTTCCTGGCCAGCCATCAGTGGTTGTGTCTCAACCGTGTGCCGTACCCTGCCCTATGCTGGATGCCCTCCACCCAGCAGCCTGCCTGGGGTGGGAAGTGCAGTCGGGCCCCCACTCTTCCCGCCCCCCCCTCCACCTCCTCTCTGTCATCACTGCTATGCATCTCATTCCACGCTTCCTGCCCCCTCTCCTCCTCCATGTCCCACCCCAGTGCCTGGAATGGAAGCAGACCTCAGAACAGCCATTGGCAAGGATTTCTGGGTGCTAGGGTTTTTGTCCTGTGGAAATGGCTGCAGGCTAGGAATGAGGCTGCCCAGGTACAACTGGGGCTCTGACAGGACAAGCCCTGTGGGAGTTTGAGCACAGATTCCGATCTCAGCAGGGAGCAGGGCGTTAACTCATGTGAATGTATGCATCATACAGGCCTTCGTTTGGCTCTAGTTGCCACACTGGGAGGTTTTGAGATCATTTCACTGACAAGGAGACTGAAAGAGTGCTTACTGCTTGGTTGAGGTCACCCTGCCTGTCATGGTAGGGCTCAGATACGGAACCCAGCTCTGTGCTCTGTTTGTTCAGTGAGCACCATCTGTTCTAAATACTCAGTGTCTACTAGCTCCTCCCCCAGGGCCTGCCCCTCACGTACCTCTCCTGTCCCTGCAGTCCTGGAGGCCTCCGGGGATGTGGCGCTGTACGCGGGCCTCGTGGTGTCCATCTTTGTGGTCCTGGTGGTCGTCTTGGTGGTGGGGGTAGTAGTGTACCGACGCAGCTGCCGCGACTTCGACACCGACATCACTGACTCGTCCGCTGCCCTCACTGGTGGCTTCCACCCCGTCAACTTCAAGACTGCGAGACCCAGTAAGCACCAAGGATGCCTGGAGGGCAGAGGGTCACTCAGAGGGACATGGCAGCCAGCCACACCAGAGCTGGGGCTCCAGACTGCCTCCTGGTTAGACTAGCTTGTTCCAGAGATAACAGTGTACATGAGTATGGACTAGAAAAAATGCAGAAAAGGAAAGGGCAACCCAGGCTGGAACAATCTTGGAAGACTTCCTGCGGGAGGTAGCAGCTGAGCCTTTGGTAGCTGGACTTGTGGGAGGGATTTTGCAACAGGCGGGCCTCTGACAGGAGCAGTGGGTTGGGACTGGTGGGCCAGTGGAGCCCAGCTCTATCTGACTGTAGCCCCCTCCTCACAGACAACCCGCAACTCCTTCACCCATCTGTGCCCCCCGACCTGACAGCCAGTGCTGGCATCTACCGTGGGCCCGTCTATGCCCTGCAGGACTCCACTGACAAGATTCCCATGACAAACTCGCCCCTGCTGGACCCCCTGCCCAGCCTCAAGATCAAGGTCTACAGCTCCAGCACCACCAGCTCTGGGCCAAGCCTGCCAGACGGGGCCGATCTGCTGGGGGTCCTCCCCCCTGGCACTTATCCTGGGGATTTCACCCGAGAGTCCCACTTCCTGCACCTGCGCAGTGCCAGCCTCGGCTCCCAGCAGCTCCTGGGCCTGCCCCGCGACCCAGGGAGCAGTGTCAGCGGCACCTTTGGCTGCCTAGGTGGAAGGCTCAGCATCCCTGGCACAGGTGGGCCCCTACCTGCCGGCCCCTCAGCCTGACCTCAGCATGCACCCCTCCCTTCTCACCAAAAACCAAACCCAACCCACTGCCACTGAGTTCATTCCAGCACATAGTGAGCCTACAGGTGCTCCCTAGGGTTTCCAAGTCCTTGCAGAAGCAAACTGCCTCATCTGTCTTCTGTGGAGCAGCAGGTAGGTTTAAACCACTGACCCTGCAGTTAGCAACCCAACATTTATCCCACTGTGCTACCACCAAAAGCCAAACCCACTGCCACTGAGTTGATTCCAACTCATAACAACCCTGTATAGGGTTCCTACGGCTGCAAACCTCTATGGGAGCAGAAAGCCTCTTCTTTCTCCCAAGCAGTGTCTGCTGGGTTTGAACTTCCAACCTTGTGGTTAGCAGTCCAGTGCTTATCCTATGGTGCCACCAGTGAAGTAAGATGAGATCTGGAGTGTGGGGTGAAGCAAGTAAAAAATCTAGGGGTCTGCTTAGGAGTCTGGGTGTCTGCCTGCCTCCACCTATCTCTAGGATAGGGAAGCTGGGACCCACCATTCTCAAAGGCTGTTTCTTCTTCTGTAAAATGAGGCGCTCAGTAGGTCAGCAAACCTTCTGAGCACTGTTGTAGGCCCTAGCATCCAGGAAGGGCAGGGATGCCCATCTAGGTTAACAAAGCCAGCACTTCTAGTTCCCCAACATCATGTACTGAGCTGGGGATGGAGCCGGATAAAACACTTAACTGCAAGTTCGGTTGGAACCACAAGGTTAGTGGTTCGAATCAACCAGCCACTCCTCCGAAACCCTATACAGGGTCACTGTGAGTCAGCGCCAACTCGACGGCACTTAGCAACAACCCCATAGAAAGAGGCAGTGGTAGCCCCGTGGTAGAAGTCTCACCTTCCAGGGGGGAATCCCAGTTTAAACTCCCATCATGCATAGCCACCACCATCTAGTGTTGCTCTGATGCTGAACTCGGTTTCTGAGGAGCTCCCAGACTATGGCAGACTAGGAAGAAAGGTCTGGCAGTCTTTCTAAAAACCAGCCAGTGAGAACCCTGTGGATCACACCAGTATCATCCACACCGATCATGGGGATGACATAGAGTCATTCCATGGTGCAGGGCCATGCCAACTCAGTGGCAACAATGACACACCCATAGAAATGTCAGAGGCCCCTGTGCTGGAAAAAAAGCCTGCTGTGGTCAGAAACCACCTCTCCCTACACCCAAGCCCTCCCTTCCCACTCCTTCTGGTAACCCATTAGAGTTCAGGAGATGACTTTCTCTCCCTGTCCCAACCTGGGGCCAGTCACCTGTTCTCCTAAACTCCTGGACTGGAGCGCCTCCCTGCTGACCTCCCTCTCCTCATAGGGGTCAGCCTGCTGGTGCCCAATGGAGCCATTCCCCAGGGCAAGTTCTATGAGATGTATCTACTGATCAACAAGGCAGAAAATACCCTGTGAGTAGAGACTGCAGCTGGGCCCCTGACTGCCCTCCTCTTCTCCTTCCTGGCTGCTGAACCTTCTGTGTCCCTCCCATGACTCCTCCCCAAGACCTGTCCACTGGGCTCTGACCAGAGGTAGTTCTCAGAGATTGTAACATGTCCTCATTTGAAATTTGCAAAACCAGCACAAGACATTGAAAAACTAAGCACACAAAGGGAAGAGAGCCTTACTATACAAAAAGATTTACAGAACTAATAAGATATTGAGCATCCTGGTAGAAAAGAAAGTGGGCAGAGGATTGTGCATGCACAAACATGCATGCACACTGGCCTACTGGGCTATGACAAAACATTCAACCTAATTTAAAGTCAAAGGAATGCTAATGAAAACAGTCCTGAGACAACCCGGAGGTTTATGCTCACAAATTTGCAGATTTTTGTCAGATGATAATGCCTTGGTGCCAGCAAGAGCTTGGGAACATGGGCCCCTCATAGCAGGTCGGGGTGTAAATTGGTGCAGGCTTTCTGGAGGGTGTTTTAGCAACACCTATCAAAACTGAATTCAGAAAGTGCAGAGCCTTTTAAAACATGCGCAAAACTCGGGCTACAGCAGAAATCTGGAAACAACTTCAAAGTCTATGCAATTTTTCCTGCCTCCTTTCACCTCTGGGGACTTGAGGGGAAACATCACCCAGCACCCTGGGGCAGAGATGGGGTCCTGGCAGGGGCTCAATGCCCCTGCTGAGCTCCGCTGGCCCCCCTCAGCCCACTTCAAACTCCTCACTGCCTGCCTCCCACCCTGCCCACAGTCCACTTTCAGAAGGGACCCAGACAGTCTTGAGCCCCTCAGTGACCTGCGGGCCCACTGGCCTCCTGCTGTGTCGTCCGGTCATCCTCACCGTGCCTCACTGTGCCGAAGTCAGTGCCGGCGACTGGATCTTCCAGCTCAAGACTCAAGCCCACCAGGGCCACTGGGAGGTGAGGGCCAATGCTGGGGAGTGGGCATCTCTCCCAGGCAGGATTGGACCCAGCTATCAGAACCGCCCGTGGGAGACAGAGAACACCTGTTTCTCCTGGCTGCAGCTGGGCTGGCCACCAGCACCAGGACCCCAGGGGATAGGGAGCCTGCATTGGACCCTCTAGGGCCTTACCTATGACCCCTCCACCGACCTCCACTCTCCCCCTGCAGGAGGTGGTGACCCTGGGTGAGGAGACTCTGAACACTCCCTGCTACTGCCAGCTGGAGGCCAGGTCCTGCCACATCCTGTTGGACCAGCTGGGCACCTACGTGTTCACAGGCGAGTCCTACTCCCGCTCAGCTGTCAAGCGGCTCCAGCTAGCCATCTTCGCCCCCGCCCTCTGCACCTCCCTTGAGTACAGTCTCAGGGTCTACTGCCTGGAGGACACGCCTGTTGTGCTAAAGGTAGGGCCACACGTGCCCCCACTGGCCAGCTGCCAAGCTCCTTCCAGCTTCCCCTGCCTCCCAGGTTGATGGTCTCCACACAGTCTCATTCATTTACTCATCCATGCCTCAGGCTTTGAAATGGCATCAATCCCTCAAGTACAGAGACGAACTGGTACCACTCCCCAGCCAAGCTGCAGGCTAGAGGTGGCAGACAGACAGGGTATTGCAGAGAGCTTTGATGAAGTGAGAAGGCAGCACAGAAGGAAAGAGGAAGCAACTGGGAAGGACCCCAAGACATGGCATGATGGTTGTAGGGAGGCAATCTGAACTAACTTCAGGGAAGCTGACCTTTGACCTAAGCCCCCCAGGCCAGTAGGCGTCCAAGCAGAGAAAGGTGAGGAGATTCCAGGCCAATCGAGAAACATATATAAAGGCAGGTGTGTGGATCAGTGGGGTGGGGGGCCAGGGGGAGTAAGGGTTGGAGGCAGGTGAGGCTCACCTTCCTAAGAGCCACGGAGCCAAGCCCAGACATTTGGAACCGACCCAATGAGAAGGGATTAGAACTAGAATAACCCTTTAGAAAGCCCCCTGTGGCTAGCGGTTTGTGGGAAGAGGAGAGTGGTGGAGCTGGGCCCTGGGCAGTGGGCAGTGAGTAAGGAGGGACTGGACTCTGTTTGGTCAGTAGGATAGAGAGTCAGAAAATGGTAGGAGGGACAGAGGGAGAGGAAGGACCAACTGACAACTAGACTCCTGCTTATGTAGCGGAGGTGGATGGGGCGTCCCCAAGTGATGGGGGACCAGGTGGGTTAGGAAGGTCAGGAAAAGAGGCCAGTGTTTTCATCTGGAGCTGGAGACTGCAGAGTGTGGAACCTGGTGTTACTGCCCCTACCCTCACTTGCAGCCTCCAACATCTGTCCAGTCCATCCTCAGCCCGTTCCTAGGACCTCAGTCTCATCCGGACTTAATACTTGTTGTAATTAATTCTGCCTCGTACTGACCCTGTATGGGGTGTTCAAGGTTATAAATCTTTATGGGAGCAAAAAGCCTCATCTTTCTCCCATGGAGTGGCTGATGGGCTCAAACCACCAACCTTGTGGTTAACAATCCAGTGCTTACTGTACAGTGCCACCAGTGCGCTAACTTACACAGGGAGACTACAAATACTTGACTCTGTTTAAACCCCTTTTGCTTTTCCATCCTTCCATCGCTCCTATATCCCAAGGCCTCATGGGCCTTTCCTGCAGCCCTGTGCCTCCCCCCATCTCAGGTGGATAGTGTCACACTTCAAGTTGTGCGCTGATGTAACATTAGTGAAAAGGCCCAATGGGAGAATGAGTGTCTCCTACTGGGACCAGCTGGCCTGAAATCCCAGGAGGCCCATAGTGGTTTGGAGGCTCCTGGGAAATGCTCTTGCAGTCTGGATGTCTTGGTACCAAGTCATTGGCTGATGTCCAGACTTGGCCAGAGACTATAGTGAAGATTAAGTGAAGGACAAGAGGGGAAATTTTGGCTTAATGGCATGTTTATTTAGCCCCCACCCAACCTCTTACCCATCCATCCGTCCAACTTTCTATCTATACACACACAGTCAACAGTCTATCTGTCTATCTGTCCATCCATCCATCCATCACTGATCTGTCCATTTATCTTTCTGCCATCCCCCATCTATTTGTACAGCCATCCACTCCCTGTTTACCGCACCATTCATCTGCTCCAACTGTCTGTCCATCCATCCGTTCTTCTGGCTACCTCTCCATTAGTCCACATTTTAAGCCTTCTATGAGCACCTAACCTTCCCGGTGCCCAGCCCTGTGCTCAGGTGGGCTTTCCCCCTAACTGTTGCAGTTGTTTCCCCTGACTACAGCTAGCTGCCAGCACTCTCCCAACAGTTTCAGGAGAAAATAGCCTGTGGGCCAAGTAGGACAGGCTGTCCCTTCTGTTTCCCCCCCCTGGCCACAGGAGGTGCTGGAGCTGGAGCGGACACTGGGGGGCTACCTGGTGGAGGAGCCCAAACCCCTGCTGTTTAAGGACAGTTACCACAACCTGCGCCTCTCCCTCCACGACATCCCCCACGCCCACTGGAGGAGTAAACTGCTGGCCAAGTACCAGGTAAGGGAGGCAGACACAGCCTCTCAGCCCAGCCTCTGCCTACTCCTCTAGTCTACAGCTTTGACAATCCTGGAGCCGCTCATTGCCTCTTGACCTCACCGCACCCCCATACTCTTCACACATTCCCACCACACTCCCCACACTCCCCACACCACCTGTCATCCTCAGGCACATCCCAGAATTCCATGCCCACAAGTAGTCATGCTGACACCCCGTCCCCTGTCTCAGATGCCACACAGGTGTCCTCTGTGGTAGGGAAGCTTTACCATCTATCAACCCTGGTAGGCGGTCTAGTCTGCTCTCAGAGCCTGTGCCCCTCTGCCCTGCCCATGCACATGACACCACTGAATCAAGGAAGCTTTCCTAGCCCGACACACAGGCACGTTCTTCTCCCATCTATTCTCATTCCCAGCTCCCTTCTAGACTCGGCCAGCCAGCTAAAGGGCCCTTGATCTTGACCTTAAGGATGCCTCTGGCCCTCTGGTTGGAGAGGCCTAAACTGGCCCACTGAGAGGATTGCAGCCTTCCAGGACCCACCTCTGCCTCCATTCCTCACGAGGACAGGGCAGGCTGGGCAGGTACAAGAAGATGGCCTCACTTCTTTGTTTCCCCTTCCCAGGAGATCCCGTTCTATCACATATGGAGTGGCAGCCAGAAGGCCCTGCACTGCACCTTCACCCTGGAGCGACTCAGCCTGGCATCCACAGAGCTCACCTGCAAGATCTGTGTGCGCCAGGTGGAGGGGGAGGGCCAGATAGTCCAGCTGCACACCACCCTGGCAGAGGTGAGGCCTAGGCAGATGCAGCATGCAGACGTACCCTCACTCCTCATCTGGGCGGAGAGACCACCTCCATAAAGACACCCTCTCCCCTCCCCAGGCTGGTCTGGGACTTGGTTATTTTTTGCTAACCACTGCTATTTATTGAATGTGCCAGGGGATATATTACCTCACTAAATCTGCTAAATCTGCACAAAGGAACTCTGGTAGCATGGTGGTTACGAATCGGGCTGCTAACCTCAGGGTCAGCAGTTCGAAACTACAGCTGTTCCACAGGAGAAAGATGAGAGGCTTTTTGCTCCCGTAAAGATTTACAGCCTCAGAAACCCTGTACAGGGTCGCTATGAGTCAGAACTGACTCCACGGCACTTAACAACAACAACAAATCTGCACAACTACCCAGGGAGACAGATACGATGACCCCCACCTGGGAGTTAAGAGAAAGTCACTTTTAAAGAGGACAGGTGTCTGTCCACAGTCACACAGGCAGTGAGTGGTAGACCTTCATTGGAACCCAGGTAAGTGACAGGTCTGAGCCTTGGCTCCCAACCACTTTATAAACCCAGATGTTGTTGTTAAGTGCCCTTGGGAATGAGTTCCAACCCATAGAGACCCTATATAGAGTTTCCGAGGAGCAGCTGGTGAGCTTGAACCGCCGACCTTGCAGTTCAAACGGCTTTGTAGTCTGGCAAATTAACCCACAACGCCACACCAGGACTACAGACCCAGATGGAGATGGACAAAATCCAGACAGCCCAGAGTGCTTCTAACTTGGCATGTGGCCAAAGAGTTACTTCCTCTTTCGAGACTCCATTTTCTACCTGTATAAAATGGGTGGATGTGGGTGAGACTGTGGCTGAGGTCCCTCAGGTGTCATCACCTGGCACAGTGTTCTTGGTGCGTCCCTGAGGCAGGTAGGTGTCAGCCTACAGCAATCCTGCCCTGGAACTGACCTTCTGGAGGCCTTGGACTGGACCTCTGGAGCTTGCCCAGGGGAAATGGAGCCAGGCTGAAGCCAATGAGCTGAGTCCCAGAGCAGGAAGAATGGAGGGAAAGATGTTCAGAACCATCTCTCACTCATGCCCTCTGCCCCTGCAGACGGCTGCTGGCTCCTTGGATGCCCTCTGCTCTGCCCCTAGCAGCACCACCACCACCCAGCTGGGGCCCTACGCCTTCAAGATTCCTCTCTCCATCCGCCAGAAGATATGCAATAGCCTCGACGCCCCCAACTCACGGGGCAATGACTGGCGGCTGCTGGCCCAGAAGCTCTCCATGGACCGGTGCGTGTCCTCCCCTTTCCCACCCACCCCACTCCCCCGCATCATAGCACCTACCCCGTCATCCTCAAGGGCTAGCAGCTCCCGCGCAGCTTCCCATGGGCCACAATCTGTGGCTCCCATAAGTCTGGGTTCAGATCCCTCACCTGGGTTGGCTGAGGGGGTATTACAAGTCCCAATACCTGCAGGGCAGTGGAACTGAAGAGCACCTGGAAGGGTGGTTGTTGGGAAGGGTGGCCGGGACCGGCAGGGCTTGTACCCTATCTAAAAGCAGCAGATACGTCTCAGTCCCAGGGCAAACTCCATGTTGCTAGATCTTTTGCTTTTCAGAAGTCAGAAATCCAAACTTTTATGTCAAAGCTACCAAATTTTAAAGTTGTTATCTAATCTAAAAAAAATGTTGAACATTCCAAGCCAAGCAAAACCCACCTGCTGCCCACATCTGGTGACACTCCTCCCATCTACGTCTTCCAGGTGGTTGTTAAGTGCCACAGAGTTGGTTGTGACTCATAGAGATCCTCTGTAGGGTTTCCAAGGAGCGGCTGGTGGGTTTGAACTGCCGACCTTGCAGGTTAGTCGAGTGTTGATCCTAACAGTGCTGCCCCAGGACTCCAGATTAGGTGACTGTTAAGAGGTCATGTTAGACCTCAGTGGTCAGCCCTGTTGATTTCCATGGCTGCTGGTTGAGGAGTCCATCCGGCCTGTGCCCCACATGGTTCTTTTGTTTGTAGTTTGGATACCCTAAGTAGGGAAGAGGGATGGTTGTAGCTGTGAATGGGGGGAGCTCACAGAGAAGGAGACACAGATAGAAAAATGCAAGAGGGAGGAGGAGGAGCTCATAAGGAGGGAGCAGCCAGTTCAAAGGCCTTGGCCCCGAAGCAGGAGTGGGCCTTACATGTTAGAGGGACCACAGGATGCTCTGTAAGTGGAATGGAATGAGCAAGGGGAAGAGGCAGGAGACCAGATCCTAAGTGCTGATCCTGCAGGGCCACATTGGCCTTTTAAGACCTTTGGCGTTGTCATGTACACAGATGGGGAGGGCTGTAAGATGGTAGGGGCGGAGGCGGCTGCTCAGGGCCTCAGCATGGGACGTGCCAGGTTGGAGAAGCCTGTGTCTTTGAGGCACATCATGCTCAGCAAGAGTTGTGAAATGATAATAGTAAAGGTGGTAACAGCGGCAGAACCTCACTTCAGGGGGAAGAATGTAAATTCTGCTTGTTTTTTTCTAAGTTTTCGAAGCTTGCTTCCTGTAGTGGCGGTGGTGGTTATGTGCCGTGGACTTGGTTCCGACTCATAGCGACCCTGTACAGGGTTTCCGAGGCTGTAGATATTTATGGGAGCAGAAAGCCTCATCTTTCTCCCGCAGAATAGCTGGTAGTTTCGAAATTCTGACCTTGCAGTTCGCAGCCCGGTTCGTAACCACTACACTACCAGAGCTCCTTTGCTTCCTGTATGCTGTATTATATTCATGAATAGATGAGTATTTGCAGCATAAACCAAAAACCAGACCCACTGCCATCGAGTAGATTCTGACTCACAGCGACCCCCTAGAGGGCTTCTAAAACTCTTAAGTCTTTATGAGAGCCGACAGTGTCATCTTTCTCCTGTGGAGCGCCTGGTGGGTTTGAACTGCTGGCCTTGTGATTAGGTCAGCAGGGTCAAACCAACCTTGCAGTCCAGTGCTTATCCTACAGCACCACACCAGGACTCCGTTTACAACACTCTAGTTGTTAAGTGCCATTGAATCGGTTCTTACTCGTGGAGACTCTGTATATGGTCTCTGAGGAGCAGCTGGTGAGCTTGAACCACCGACCTTGCGGTTCAAAGTGACCTTGTGGTGAAGTGCTTATTCTACAGCACCACAACAGGACTACACTTAGAGCCTAGATAAACGTATTTACAGCACATTGTTGTTATTAAGTGAGTCGATTCCGACTCATAGCAATCTATAGAAGCTTTCCAAGGAGCAGTTGGTGGGTTTGAACTGCTGACCCTTGTGGTTCGCAGTCCAGTGCTGATCCCACAGCGTCACAGCAGAAGTCCATTTACAGTTCGATTCTCCCTCCCATACCTGTTCAGCCTGTGTTCCTATCTATGCCTCCTGTTACTGCAGAATTGTGTGTCTAAGAGTAATCTGTTGCTTTTAACTCCTGCCCTCCTTCCGGTGTCTTCCGTTGACTTCAGTTTTTGCTGATTCCCTCTTAACAATTGATTGCCTTTCCCTTTACCAATGTGAGTATGTATCCATTCTCTAATTAGAGACTTGTTTTCCTTTCTTTTCCCATCCCCAGTTGTTGTTAAAGTGCTGTCCAGTCTGTCCCGACCCATAGTGACCTTGTATAGGATTTCTGAGGAGTGGCTGGCGAGCTTGAATTGCCAACCTTGTGGTTCAAATTGACTTTGCAGTCCAACGCGTTAACCCACAGTACCACACCAGTACTCCATCAATAAATGGTAGCCACCAACAGACATTTCTTTTTATATGAAAACCTTTTCTTGACTTTCTACAGCAAGGGTCTCATATAATATTTGTCCTCTTGTGATTGACATTTCAGTCAACATAATGTCCTCGAGGTTCAACCATGTTATGAGGTGTTTTTTCAGAGTCATTGCAATTCTTTAACTTTAGCATTCCATTGTACCATAGCATGCACCATAGCTGATCTTCTCCCATCGATGGGCATTTAGTCCGGTTCCATTCTTTTGCTATTGTGACTAAGGCTGTGTTGGGCATGGGTGTGCATTGATCTCTTAGTGTCATGATTCTTATTTCTCTAAGATATATACATAGTAGTGGGATTGTGTGGTGGCCCTGTAAGATAAACACTGATCTGTAAATCATGAGTTTGGCAATTCGAGCCCTCTAGCTGCTCCATGGGAGAAAGATGAGGCTTTCTGCTCCTGCGAAGAGTTAAAGCCTTAGAAACCTTATATAGGTTTGCTATGAGTTGGAACTGACTCAATAGCACTTAACAACAACAAGTGGGATTGCTGGATCATATGGTATTTCTATTTCCAATTTTTTAAGGAAACACTATACTGTTTTCCACAGTTGTTGTACCATTTTCAGCCTTACTAGCAGTGCATGAGGGTTCTAATCTCTCCACACCTTCACCAGCATTTGTCATTGTCTGATTGGTTGGTTGGTTGTTTTCTGAATTTTGCTAATAATGCTAAGGTGAGATGGTGTTTCCTTGTTGTTTTGATTGACATCTTTCCAACGGCACTGTAGGTTAATGCACTGGTCTGCAAAATAGGTTTGAACTGCAAGGTCAGTGGTTCAAGCTCACCAGCTGCTCCTTGGAAACCCTATACAAGGTCACTATGGGTCGGAACCAACTCAACAGCAGTTAACAACAACAACAATGGCTAATGATCATTAGCATTTCTTCATTTATTTGCTGCCTAAATGTCTTCTTTGGTGAAGTGTATGTTCATTTTCTCAGCCCTTTTTTTTTAGACTACTTGTCTTTTTCTTATTGAGGTGTTGAATTTTTCTAAAATCTTAGTGATTTTAGAAATTGTCATTGCCAATTTTTCTTCTAGGTTGTTGTTAAGTGCCTTCTAGTCAGTACCAACTTGATGGCACTTAACAACAACAAGTCCAGATCCAAATCTTAGAGACCTTATGCACAGTAGAGTGAAACACTGCCCAGCCCAGTGGCTTCCTTAAACAATCATTTCTAACCTTGAGCCCACTGCTGCTGCCACTGTGCCAGTCTATCTCATTGGAGGTTTTCCTCTTTTTCACTGACCCTCCACTTTGCCAAGTGTGATGATGTCTTTCTCCGGGGACTGGTCCTTAACTGATAAGATGTCCGAAGTTCATGAGACACGAAGTCTGGCCATTTAAGAAGCATTCTTTTTTTTTTACTTATTTTTTTTTATTTGAGCAAAAGTTATTCAAGCATATTGGTTTTCCATTCAACAATTCAGGTACGTTATTGTGTGACACTGACTGATTGATTACAATCCCAACAACATAATAGCATTCTTACACTTCCTCCCTGGGTTTACCATGTCTATTCCTCTCTCTTTCCTTTAAGGAGCTCTGGTAGCATAGTCGGGCTGCTAACTTCAAGGTTAGGAGTTCAAAACTACAAGTCATTCTGTGAGAGAAAGATGAGGCTTTCTTAAGGAACATTCTTGCTGTACTTCTTCCA